ATATGATATGGCAAGTAATTTGAAATGAATGTGAATTTTTCATTGCAGAAGACAAGTACTTGGGGTTCAAGAACAAAACAGAAGTGAACTTTTCAGCTACCCAAATGGAGTTTTCTTTGCAATCCCCAGGAGATCCGTTCATGAGGTAACTACAGAAGCTGGCAGAACTGTAAACTATGGCCACTTCTAAATGAGAAATGCTGAAATGGTAATAGAAGGCGAGCCTTGTAAGAACTGAATTATAACTTAAAATCATGAACACATGTATCTGAAGCAACACATGGTATTATGAAAGTTATTATATAGTAGTCAAATTGAATTATATACATATATTTATCCATTTCCATCTGAGATATGGAAACTCAAAAACAAAGTAGTAGCCTGCTTTAAAAATCTATGCAAAAAGGAATTTTACATTTTATCTTTCCAATTTGTTTTAAATTAGGACTCCATTTAGTTCATGAAAAGAATCAAAACACAATCTCTCTATGCATATTTGAAAAAAAGAAGAATCTTTGTGGCAGAGAGTTGATTTTGATTATGTTCTCCCAAAGATGCCTTTGTAGATGTGCAGCACTTACTGAAATTTGCAAAAAATCCAACTATTGAAGCTCTCTACAGTGGAAAAGAGATGGGGCTAGCCAGCCCTGACAAGGAGAAATGTGTCCCAGGTAAAAATGCCCCAGGGGCCACAGGCAGCAGCAGCCACACACACACTACTGTGAGCAGAGCCATTTAATTAGAAAGCCTCAGGAAATGGATAAACTCTGGGAAGATAACTTCCGGAAAGCATAGTTGGTGTGGGCCCATTTGATGATGGGCTTGATTTTCCAATTAACAAAATGTGAGTGGCTGGCTCTTTAGGGAATTTCTGAATGGATGCCCAGCATGAAATGCCTCAACATTCCATTTACCAACACTGTGTGCCTTCCGCTGTAATATTAAATGGCTTGATTAGACTCTTATGTACCAGAATGTTAGATCTAATAACTATCTCTATTAGTTCAAACATGTGCTACAGAGGGGTGCATATTCATACTCTAAAGAACCAACTAAAAGTATGATTCGACACAGCTTCAGAAATAGGGACAAGAGAGAAGTGGCATCTTGGAACTTCAAAACAGTAACATCATTTCATAAGAGTTTGGACGTGCACTTGTGTAATATACTTCGGGAGAAAGTGCCTGGTGCCTTGGAATGGCCAGTGCTAGGCTTCATAGTCTAGGTCAGGCAGCAGCTTCATACCCTGGAGTCTTGATGCGTAATTGCACTTTCTTAGTGGAACTGTTCTTAGGGTTTAGTTCCTGGATATAGGAGAGCCATAGCATCCTCCAATTGCACTTCCTTAGTGGAAGAAACTGTTCTTAGGGTTTAGTTCCTGGATATAGGAGAGCCATAGCATCCTCAAACACAGAGAGGGTTTAGTTCCAGGATGTAGGAGAACCAGAGCATCCTCAAGCACAGAGAAAGGAGGATTTAGTTATAAACTCTGCTCTCTAAGATGCGCTTTCCAAGAATCTGTTTGTTTGGATCTAGTCATTGTCCTAAAAAAATAGATAAATAAGCCTTGACTTGAAAAACAACAAAAACATATGAAAACAGTCAGGGAGGTTGGTAATGTGCAATGAAGTTAAGGAGTGAATTTAGAAAGAGGGGGGATTAATAAAATCTGAGCCCTTGGGAAGCGGTTGCAAGCTTGTTGATCCCCACAGTTCCTGAGGCCAAATTTCAGCTAATTGTTCCCTTCTGCTTGGTGTGCTGCCGCCAGTGCGGTCCACAGGGCAGCTGGGAGAGGAGAAGTAGAAAGAGGCACAGGGAGGCACAGAGCACTCCCAGATGGGTAACATGGATAACAAACAAAGTGAAAGAGTAACAGAATTGGTAAAGGGTTCGAGAAAATGCCCAGGGAACAGGAAAAGGTGGGAAAATGTTCAAGGGATGTGGGATATTTGAGGTTATTTACCAGTCAGTCCAGACAGGCACACAGACTGACAGGCAGAGAAGGGACTGGGGGAAGGAGAAGAGAACAAGAGGAGAGAAGGGAGGGGGAACCTTTATTCTTGAGTAAAATACGTGTGTGTGTGTGTGTGTGTGTGTGTGTGTGTGTGTGTGTGTGTGTGTGTCTGTCTGTGTGTGTGTGTGTGTGTGTCTGTCTGTGTGTGTGTGTGTGTGTGTCTGTCTGTGTGTGTGTGTGTGTGTGTCTGTCTGTGTGTGTGTGTGTGTGTGTCTGTCTGTGTGTGTGTGTGTGTGTGTCTGTCTGTGTGTGTGTGTGTGTGTGTCTGTCTGTGTGTGTGTGTGTGTGTGTCTGTCTGTGTGTGTGTGTGTGTGTGTCTGTCTGTGTGTGT